CCAAACTGTATCCTACACTGGTGACTTAAAGATCACTTACCAACAGCTGCTAATCCTCAGACCTGAAATAAACTAAAATTAATAATCAGCATGCTATGAAGGCAAATTTAAACCTTAAAAATGAAATTCCTCCATGCAAAATGCTACATTGCAGCAAGCCTTACACTACTAAAAGTCAATTAAAATGTTCTACCAAAAAATAAATAAATAAATAAAAACGATTGGTTAAAGCACAAGGTAATCAGTAGGACCACAAGAGATAAGGAAACTGCTAAAGAGAATATCTACCCCAAATGAAATTTCACCTCATCAGTATTAAGCAAAATGCTGACTGAAAAATGCTGACTTTCAGTATTAGGCCTAATACTGACTAAAAAAATGCTTTCAGTATTAGAAATGAAAGGTTAAGGAATGATACAGAATCTAGGTCATGTGCCAAAATACTAATACTATGTACAATTCAAATTATAGGCTCAAAAAAGGTAATGCTGGACAAAATTGGATATAAGACCACAGCTGTCAATGTCCACAACTCAAATGGAGATAGAAGAATTGTGGTAAGGCAGATGGGAAGGCTGGAATAAATATCAGTTCTTTTAAAAAGGGCTACTCTGAAAACAGCCTCATTAAAGTGACCCTAGTAAGTACTAAATCACATTAAATTTAAGATAAAATTTAGGGTTTCGAAGATGGCTGAGTGGAATAAGCACTTCCCTGGCAAGGACCTAAGTTCAATTCCTAGCTCCGCCCAAAAAAAAGAGAGAAAATTTACTTAATTTATTAAGAAATAAATAAAAAGAAATTTCACCTCATATTATGACTCATCTCAATAAATGCCAAATGCTCTGGGCTACTAACAAGACTGCTCTGGCATGACTTCCCAGGACATCCTGCTTATGAATATCTGCAAGGGGCTGATCTACAGCACCTCCACCAAACAGATTGAGCCACCACCCCAATGAAAATGCTCAATAAAAAAAGTTGCCTTATTTTTTAAATGTTTTTTGTTAAAAACTGCCATTTATAGAAATAAGTTCTCTATCTTTTTAGTTTGAAGAAAATCAAGCGGTGCATTGTAAACACTGAAGCATAAATGTGACTGTAGCGTTCCAATGAGTCAAAAAACAAGGAAACTACAGCTCAGCACTCACTTAGGCCTGGAGCACGTGTGTGTGTGTGTGTGTGTGTGTGTGTGTGTGTGTGTAAATTTTAGGGAAGGGTCTACAAAGTGTTCAGAGTCTACCAGATCCCACTGGTAAGTGATCCGCCTGTTTACAGCCTCCCAAGAGCTGGGATTACAGGCGTGCAGCATCACACCCAGTCTCTGTGTGTGAATTGTGCACCAGGTCCAGGGCACACAAGTTGAGACTACTATCTATATAATTACCGAGAGTCAAATACTTTCAGCAAGGTAGACAGCAAGTCAATACTTACCTATCATGCCTGCACAAGAAATTTGTTTACTATTCAATTTTACTTTAAACCTATTCTCCTTCCCCTAATTTGGTGAGCTCATACAATTCAAGCGTTGGAAGGCACCTTTAAGAACAACTGATCACCCCGGCCTTACCAGGTAAGACCCCCGAGCTAACAAGCCACTCGCGTTCCGTGTTGGCTAATGAAGGACTGAATTACAATTCAGATGTAAGGCGCTTTTAACAAACTCCGGGCTGTCCACGTCTCGCATCTCATCTCCTCCAAGCCACCTCACGGGGGCCACCGACCTGCACCCCTACCAGTCCCCACACCCGAATTCCCGAATACAGGGATCCCACCCCGGAGCCGATCCCTCCGAGGGAACGCCGCGTCAGCTTCCAAAGCCGCGTTCGCTTAGCGCCAACTCGGGAAGTTAAATAAAACGCTGTCATGGAAATTAAAAGGAATACAGAAAACATCTCTTTAAAATTAGATCCTCATCTAAGAGTCTACTCCAGTGCGACGACTCGTGGAAGAACAAAACGCCGACGGAAGGCTGCGCGAGGGCGGGGGTCGGAGCCGCGCCAGGCCGGCGGCGGCGGGGCGCG